TTAAAGATTGACATTCATCTTTTCTTTGACTTCCTACACAAGGATGCCTCATCTTTACATAGCATCAACTTCTCCTTTAGTGCTCTAATTCCAATATTGATTGTGCATGTAATCTTAAAGATTTTAAACCCATAAGTCTCCTCAATGGGTTATTTAAAATCTTTACTAAAGCTCTAACTACTAGACTCAGTTCATTTCTCCATTCTCTAATAGATGAAACGCAATTAGCTTGTTAAGGTGGGAAATCTACCATTGACTCTATTCTTCTAGCTCCTGGAATACTACATCACTCTAGGAAGAAAGACATCTGCATAATCAAGGTAGACTTCATGAAAGCCTTTGATTGTGTAAGTTGGAATTTCGTTCTTTCATTATCGAAAGCCAGGGGTTTTAGTAATAGATGATGACATTGGATTGAACACACTCTCATCCTCTAAGTCATTAGTTGTGAATGGTGTCCCTCCTAAAACTTTTTCTTCTAAACGTGGTCTTAAACAGGATGACCCTCTCGCACCAATACTTTTTATTGTAGTGGAAAACATTCTCAATAAGACGATAATCAATAGTGTGGTTTCAGGGGATCTCTCTGAACTTCATCTCAAAGGAGACCTTAACAAAATAAGATCTCTTCAATTTACAGATGACACATTAGCCTTCTATAGAGCTCAATCTCATCATCTCTCTATCCTCAAGTCTATTTTGTATATCTTTGAGGTCATATCTGGTCTGGGTATAAATTATGCTAAAATAGATTTATTTGATTTAGGTAAGTCTAATACCAAAGGCCCACATCTTGCTAAACTCCTAATTGTTCTTTAAGCTATATACACCCTTAAAATGCCTTCATCTTCCCCTCAAACAAGGATCCTTATCCAAAGAACATTGACCATGCTTGTAGACTCTTCCAATAAGAACCTATCTAGGGGGAAAGTAAGAATCTTTCTATTGAAGGACGTTTAACTCTGGATAATTCCGTTCTATTCTCCCTTTGATTTTCATGTCCTCCTTTAAAATATCTAAATGCCTTATGGAAGTCTCTAACTCGTGACTCTCTAGTTGGAAAAGTTCTCCCATTTCTTCATCTAAAAAATAAACCCCTCCTTGTATGTACAACTTCTTCAGTCTCTGACTCTAGTTTTTAGCTAGGGAGTCTTTTCCATCAGTCTACTAATTAGCATTTTTAAAACATGTTATTGTTAAGTCCCAAGGATTTATGCATGAGGGTGTTTGGAAATGGTACCCAATCATTTGAAGATGTTGCACTAAGCATGAAAAGAAAAGAGTTGAAAGATTTGAATACTATTTTGTCAAATTATTCTATCCGCAATCTTCAGCTAAATGATGAGATTATATGGCCTCTGCACCCCAGAGGAGCTTTCACAATGAAATCCACATATGAGCATGTCAATAGGGGTGACATCACCTCAAATAATTTCTCACTGCTATGGAAATCTATTCACCCAAACAAAGTGAAGGTTTTCTTTAGGATTCTTTTATAATAAAAAAAAATTACAAACAAGACCAAATCTTTTACCTAAAGGTTGGTCAAGAGACCCTATCTGCCCTGTTTGTCAAATAATCTGGAAAACATATGACCATCTTTTCTATAATTGCACAGTTCCAAGACATGTCTGGGAAATTTTCATTTCTCATCTTTAGTCTATTCAATGGTGAAACACTTTTGAAGAAATTCTATATGCAAATGGCAACTTTATTGGTGAAATCGAGATTAAGAGTTTTCAGAACATTTTATTTCTAGCTCCTTGTTTGTTTTTGTGGAGAATAAGAAATAACTTGGTTTTTTATGAAGAAGTTTCGGAGCCACAAAGGATTGCTTCTAATGTTTTGCACATTTCATCATGTTTTGGGTGGGGAGTTCAAGCAAGAACAAGTCAGCAGGGATCCAAGAGGTGGCATATGAGAAGAAGACCCAGGAGCTTATTGAAAGCTCAAGCAGCTCTAGTGAAGATGGAGCGGGTGGTAATTTCTGAATCTTAGGGCAACTGATTTGTATATGACTAGACAATCTTGTTCTACATTTTGTCTTTTGATGTTCACTTCTGTTTTTGTTAAAACTCTGCAAGGCGCCAAATGTGTGGGCATGTTTTGTAAGTATGGGTTTCAATAGTTTGGGGCACTAAACAGAGTGCACAACTAAATATATCAAGCATCTATGATTCAGGATTATAGATGACGACAGGGTCCTCTCCCTATTCCAAAATATGAACTGCTTGATACTTTCAGCTTCTTCATTCATTTATTTTCCGAAACTAGGTGTCTTATTAATATATTGAACAGGGTACCTTGCCCTATTTTTAATTTTAAAAAAAAAGTGGGAATGGCCATTATTAAGGAGACTCGGATAGTAGCATTCATATTTAAATGAACAAAAAAGAGCTTAACTTCCAAATATGTTCATTCCTACTTCATTCTTTAAAAATTGTACGCAAACATGAGAATGGAAATGAGTATTCCATTTCCACATTAATTTCATTTTGTTCCTTGCTTCCTTTTATTCTCACTTCACTCGGGTCTCGTCCACCAAACTAGGCATAAGTTTAAAATATGTACTGAAAGATACCATCCGCGGGTGGGACTTCTGGCTAGCGCCACGAAGAGTGGGGGAGGAGATCTCCCTAGGTGGTCAAGGGTTCGATCCCCGTATCCGCATTCACCTGGCCCCTTTGGGAAATAAGGGTGGGGACTGGGGCCCGGGGTTTTCTGTTCAGTAACTCAACCCGGTAGTTAGGGGTCCGGTTTGCGTCCAGCTTGGTCCATACGCTGCTCGCCCAGTCACGTGGGGATGGGCCCCTGGTATTAAGGAGAAGCCCCTTGCAGCTATGGGGGGATCAGGAGGATTCAAACATATGGTCTCTGCCAGACCTCAAGTGAGGGCGTTGAGTTGCTGACCAGGTTTCCCTTGTCAACAAAAAAAAAATATATGGTGTATTCTCCTTCGTTTTTATATGATTTTATACATAGAACCCTCCTAAAGTGATTTTTTTCCCCACAAGGGTAGTAGGAAACTAGAGCCCTATTTTAGATAAATGATGACCTTTCATAGTTTCTCGAGAATTTTAAATAAATGATGACCTCTCATAGTATCAATTATCCATGAAAATCAGAGGTGCCATCAATAAATACCAGACTGATCTAAAGCCCTGTTTCAGAGCCCAAGCTATTCGCCCAAAGGTAGACAAAGTTTGGAAAAATCACAGGAAAAAAGTTTTGAGTGTCGCACCAAGATGTTGCGTCTGGAAGCAACATAAATGTGCACCTAAATCCTGTTGTAGGTAATTCTAGTTTGCAAAATTTGGTCAAGTTCAACATTCAGACAGTACAACACAATTGGAAATGCTTTTCGCTATAATATGCTCAGGAGTTTAAACATCCGATATAAAGTTTATGAAACTATCACGAGCTATTCAGAGTCCTGTAAAAAAAATGGCATCAACCATCAACATATTTTATTAGAGGAAACTACCAGAAACTTCCAAATGAACAGCCAGAAAATACTATATTACTATTAAAAAAAACTACCCAGGAATTTACGCACCATAGGCTTTTATTTATACTTTACAAAACTGCAATGGATTGTCAGAAGAAAACTACCATGGTGTTTCAAGTATTATCATATAACTACTACATAGGTTGCAGTTTATGGCAGTTTTGTGAAATTTACACTCAACAAATAGAGTATTTACACATAATGCTTAAAAAAGAATGTTTCTTCACTAAATTTGATCTCAAGAACACGTATCTCTGTGTGAGCGTGAGTCAAATATATTGTAGCTAAATTAACAGATTGGTATATTTAGTTCATATATATTGTGGCTAGATTACCAAATTGGTATATTTAGTTAGACATTATTACCAGGTTGATACATTTATTTTCTCTCGCAACAACTACGAATTAAAAATGGGTACAATGCATGAAAGTCGACTTAACCATGAAATTTGGGCGCTGATGTGTCACGTACGAAGCTCGTGACAGTGACATTGCATATGTGAAGAGGGTGAACTTCAAATAAATAAATAAAAGCTCTCTCGTCTTTGTTCATGTGAGAGTGAGGACTTCACCCCCAAAATCACAGAGATTCCCCCCGTTAATGGTTGGGGAAACTTTGAGGAGTGATTTTATTAGCATGTCCCAGTGTGAAGCCTCACAATCCTCTAACCACTCGAGCTTCAAGAATCATATTCAATTTCAATGGGAAACTTTGAGGAGTGATTTTATTAGCAGGGTCACCTTCCATGTTCACATACTCCAAAGATAAACTGGATTCATATACTCTATGACGCTCTAATGGGTGTTATCGCTCGGCATATTCCTCTTCTAGCTTCTTGCCATCTTCTTTAAGGAGACAGACAGATAGCACAATGTCACCAGTAAACCAAGACATTGAAAATCTAGTGTGATGTACTACTTCCCTTGGGGGAAAAAATGGAAGTGAGCATATATTCTTTGCCTGTCTGATACTTTTGGTGAGAGGATGAAGCAAAATTTATCCCAATACGACAAATAAAAAATCAGAAAATTCCATGGCGAAGCAACATAAATAATATCATAACCTATTACAGTCGGGAGAAGAGAGGAAAGAGCGAATATGTTGTTTTTTAAGTTCATAGTTTTTTGCCAATATTTGCATGTGCTCAGAATTTTCAGAGTAAGAAAGTGGAATGAGTCAGCTTAGTTCCTCGTAGCTCACAGTGTAACAAGAAACTCTCAGTAGGTTGTTGAAAATTATAACACAGTACCATATGAGGAGTCTAATCTTCTTTCCACGCAATATACACCGAAAGAGGAAATATATGCAAGTACTATATAATGCTATGTATAGAACTTATGTTTATTTCCCACAGCTCTCAATTTTCTTTAGTGAACAAAGAAAGGCTGTTACCGATGACCGAGGCAGATTATTCTACTGAAGAAAGAAAGAACTGTCTTCAAGAACCTCCATGTCGAACTCAAATCTGAAGTATCAAACAGTGTTCAAATAAGTAGCGTGAGGATCTGTGAAATTTAAACATTTAAAGTGAAATCCAACTGATAGATCATCCATTACAAACATAAAAAAAAAAGCTATGAAGTAAAGCGAGCCTGACAGAGGTCTCAATAAAAAGAAAGACAACAAAGTAACTGAAACAAAAAGTGCTACCAGCTTAGATCTAACAAAGCTTAAAAGGCATATTAAAAGCATGTTCTTGAAGAACATGAGAATAAGACGGGTTAAACTTTGTCGTACCACAGTGTCGTTTATCTGCAACCAGAAACTTTAGAATGAAATTTGTGAGCCAAAGATATCTGTGAAGCCACTGCAGCGGAATGAAAAAGCAATCTTCTAGTCGATCTTGACGGACGAGAAGAGGTAGTGAACGAAGTAGAACGAAATCAAGAACCCGATGGTGCCAGTGGATAACATGATAGCGAACGCCATGATGAGGGAATACCCTAGGTAGAGAGCAGCCGATACAGGCCCACTCAAGCTCCTGAGATCAAATACCAAGTAATTGATGGAGTAAAGGAACACGTACAGAGCTACTGAGCCTGAAGCAAAGAAAGCCTTCCACCACCACCTCCAGTCCTCCACACACAGATGCATGTAAGTCAGTACCACAGACACTTCAGCACAAACAATGATGAGCAACATAAGGACCACAAAGAGGAAGCCGAACACGTAGTAGAACCTCCCCAGCCAAATACTCGACAGAATGAAGAAGAGTTCGATGAAGAGAGTTCCGAAGGGGAGAGTTCCAGCTCCAAGAACGAGAAGCCAAGAAGGATATTTCCGAGCTGGAATTTCTCTCGGGATCTGATTGGTCCGGACTGGGAGTTGGATGGGCTCAGACCGAGTGCCGATGAATCCTCCCAAAAGGGTGAGGGGCACTGAAATGCAGAACCAAAGGGCTAGAAGAATGAAGTACAGTGAGATGGGAATGGCCCCCGTGCTCTTGCTCCCCCAAAGTAAGAAATTTAACACGGTTAGGATGACAAATACAATCCCCGGGAAGAAGCAAGCAATGGACCAAGCAACTCCTCTCCAACCGTCTGAACTTTGTTTGATTGTCCTCCACAAGCGAACGCCAGCATAGCCAGCGATGATCCCAAGGAAGAGATAGAGGATGATCATCCCAGTCAAAAGCATGCCTCGGGACGCTGGCGACATGAACCCAAGAGCCGCAAAGACAATAGTGACCCCGGCCATCCCTAAAATCTGAACCCCATCGCCGATCATAACACAGAGGAGTTTTGAGTTGGTGGGCTCCCTGAAAACGTCACCCACAACAAGCTTCCACCCTGACAGCTCCTCGTTCATCTGTGCCTGTGCTTCTTTATCCAGCTCCTCGTACCTTGTCAGGTCCCTGCGGACGGTCCTCAAGAATATGACGAAGACGATCCCGGCCAGGAAGAAGATAACCATCAGAGAGTTGAGTATCGAGAACCAGTGTACCCTCGAACCCTCCATCTTCAAGTAAGCATCCCATCGAGAAGGCCACCTAATGTCACTCTTCACAAACTCCACCTCGTAGGTGAATGTGATTCTTTCTTGCTCCCGAATCAACTGGCACCTGTCGAGCTGCAAGGGGCAGCTCACAGGATCGATCTTGTCATACATATTGAGTTTCGACATGGCCTCAGAATCTCTCTTCACACTGCAGGGAACAACCTCGAATCCAACTATCTCGTAACCAGACATCTTCTTCTTGTCAGTCTCTGAGATCACAGCCAATCCTTCTTCGCCGGTACCAAGAATCTCCACGCCGCTTCCCTCGTACTCATGAACCAAGACCTTGAACTTCAAATGGTTGATGACGTAATCCTCAGAGCTGCCGGTAGCTGGAGTATACCCAACGGGGAATCCGGTCCACTGGATAGTGACACCATTTTGCTGGGTAAACCTCATCGCGGGCAGGTTGTCGAGAATCATGTTAACCTGGTAGAGATCGCGGGTTCTCTGTTTCAAGAGCTTGGCATCGAGCTCGGTCAAAGGGTTGGTAGTGCATAGGTAGAGTGATTCGTTGACGTTCACACGGAATCTGTAGGGGGAGTTATCTATCTGGTCCCCCATCAAAAGCTCCCCAAGGTTCTCAGCGCTCTTCTTGATCCCACCTTTGGGTTGGCAGTAGGGGAGACTGTAGTAACTGAATGGGAGCTCCGTCTCAATCGAGGTGAGGGAATTCACCTTAACCGATATGGCCTCGCCTTGAGAGTACGTATGCATGTAACTCCCGGGAAGATAAAATGCGTCGCAAGGGATTGCGGTTGCAATCAGGAGGAGGAGAAGGGAAAATAAAGCTGATGACATCGGAGGAAGAGATCTCCCCATAGCGCAAGGTTGTTCCTTCTAGGGGTGGAAACGAGTCCAATCTGAACGAATAGTGCGTGCCTTATTCGAACCTGAATTCGGCTCAAATAGCACTACTGGTATTCGTGTTCGGATTCGACTCGAATAATATTCAGAATTCGAATACGCTTCGGTTAGTTGTGTGCATGTTCGGTACCTATTCGCGAACATTCAATTAACAATATTTCGCTTGCCACAGAGAAAAACATTGAGCCGGATTAGGTAGTATAGATGAGAGAGTTCACCTCTGACAATTAAATGAAGCTGGTTGAAATCACAGATCCGCAAGGGATGAGATCAGATTTTGTGCAAATTTATCCGTAAGAGACATAAAGATGTAATCTTTAGCAATGAGTATAAATTAAAAATCAAGAACAATGGCAACTTTTAAGCTTCAACTTACATTTTTGATGACTCGAGATGGAATACAGTCGGGGAAGGAGGGTCGACGAGCTTCGAGGGCGGACTCGACGACGAGATTCGAGGGAGAACGGTGAAAACCCTAGCCCTAGAATCCGTTTGGAGTCGGATCTGAAGGAGGAGAGAGGAGCCGATCTACCTGGGAGTCAGATCTGAAGGAGTTTTAGAGGAGATTTCCTAATACGTAGATGAATCCAATTATTGATTGCTGATATTTTATATTGAGATTGAGAGAGAGAGAAAATAAGAGAGCTTTAAAGAGAGAAGTTACGGTTTGTCATTAGGGGGCTTAGTCCTCAGGAACTTTTTAAAGTTGAACTAAGATAATCTGTAAAGTGGGGTAATTTTTTCACACTAGGATAATTTAGTGGAACAATGATGGATAATTTTTGAAGTGAAATAATTTGGTAGGATAATTTGGTGGGATAATAGTAGATAATATTATGAAGTTGTATAATTTGGTACTATAATTTGGTGGGGGTAATGGTGGATATATATTACTATTGTTAATAATTGTATATTAAACATAATATAAGATTGATTAGTAATTGATTAGTCTAGTAATAACTATAAATATAAAGTAATAAAGCATCACTATTCATCTCAAAATAATAAAATATTTTACAACTAAATAAAACCTAAATCCCTAGTGTGACACGACTTCCATCATCCCACATGGCATCTGCCATAGAATTTCTCCAAGCTCCTGTTGCTACTCGTTGAGTCTGTAACTCGTCTTTGCTATGAACTTTTGTGATAGAAGTTCTGATATCTTTGTGATCAGATATGCAGCTTCAGCAGCTAATTCGATTATGCGAATCAAAAGATTATCATCGAACTCTTCATGATGAAAATATAAAATGGGCAAATTTTGATCTTCCTCCATCCTATTAATTAATATAACCAATGAGTTGGAATCAATTTACATGAAACTTATGTGCATAGGAAATAAATAAAGCACTCTATTATTTGCACACAAGGGGACTGATAATATTTTAAATGTGTATAGTTCATTTTATCAAAAAAGATGATTGTAAATGAACATGTATTAGTGAAAAATTAGTGAAAAATTGGCAGTTGTTAATTCTCTCTACATAAAGTAGTAATCAATAAAAAAATATGGTGTTGTGTGCTAATCATTAATTACCAAACTATTGAAAATAGAAGAAAAACATAATATTGCACTACTCTGATCTACACAACATACAAGAATCATTTGTTGGGATGATACATAAGAAACTTCATCTAAATGCACCAAACTAAGACAACTGACAAGTCAAATAACATGATAACAAAACATAAGAAAATAAATAAAAGCATAGCAATAACCTAAAAATAAATAGTTTTCAAATACTTTAATAAAGGAGCTTTGAAAAACTGAAATGACACAGATCCTAAAAATACTTTCCAAATCTCAGAAAAAAAACATGACATTATCCCAACTTTCACCTACTCAATGAAAAATAGTTTGACAATATAAAATTCTACATAATCCTAACACCATAACACATCTCAAAAAACATAGCAATATCTTAAACTCCTAACTACCATCTCAAAACATCTTCAAAGAAATCAGAATCACAATATGCACCATTTAGATTAGAATTGGCTTGAGTCATATCATTATCATCATTCCTTATCTCACCAGTCAACCTAAAATGTAGAAACTCATAGCGGTCTTTTGCATCCATGTCAATAAAGGCATTCTTCATGTCCTGTGGTACATTCCATTTTTGTGGCTTAGACAATTTAGAAGTAGACATAATAGTATCAACCCATTCTTTTTTCTCAATTGATTCTTTATCAATCTGTAGGATAATTTGAGAGAGGTGAACTGATGGCTACATATATAGTTGCATAATTAGTGGGATAATTATGACAAATTATCTCAATTCTAGTTCTAGTAGAATTCTATTGGACTAACACACCAAAAAATATCACAGTTCTAGTTCTAGAAAAGTTCTACCTGACTAACACTACAAAAAAATATCTCACTTCCTAATTCTATCTGACTAACACCTTAAAAATTAAAGGGTGTTTCTTCATCTGGAATAACAAACAAGAGGCAGATGCAAGGATATGGTGCAGGCTTGACAGGGTACTAGTAAATGAAGATTGGATCCAGCTTTATAATTCCAGCCAAATGGAATTTCTTATGCCTTCATGTTCTGATCACTCTCCTGCCTTGTTAACTGTGGGAAATGAAAATTTTGAGGGCAAGAAACCCTTTAAATTTTTTAATATGTGGACAAAGCATCCAGATTTCATTTCAGTAGTAAAATCAGTATGGCTTCAGAGTATATATGGATATAGCATGTACAGGTTGCACTCAAAACTTAAAAAACTAAAACCTGTTCTGAAGGATCTAAACAAAAAACATTTTATGAACATAAGTGAGCAAGTCTCAAGAGCCAAAGCAGAGTTAGATAATATCCAATGTCAGCTGAGCAAAAATCTTTTAGATCCTATGCTGATCTCAAAGGAGAAAGAATGTGTAAAAATACACAAATCTGGTGGAATGTGAAAACTCCTTTTATAGACAAAAAGCAAATATAAATTAGGGATTGCATGGAGACAAAGGTTCTCATTTATTCCACTCTATCATGAAGGCTAAGAGACATAAAAATAGAATTCTATCAATACAATCTGAGGCTGGGATCATAATTACAGATGAGATCATAAGAGAATTTACTGATTATTACAAAAATCTCCTTGGTACAAAAACATCTACTGCACATCCTGACCCAGCTGTGATTTCAAGTGGACCAGTTCTCTCCCAAAGCCAATGTAATGAGTTGAGCAGACCTGTCTCTAGAGATGAGATCAAAAAAGCCCGTTTTCTCCATGGCAGATGGCAAAGCTCTAGGGCCTGATGGTTTCAGTGTTTCTTTCTTCAAGAAATCTTGGAATATCATCAGTGAGGACCTTTTCTTAGCAATTGAAGAGTTTTTCTACTCAGATAAGCTTCTTGGCACCTACAATACCACTTCAATCACTCTAGTGCCAGAGATTCTTAATCCAAGCTCACCATCAGACTTTAGACCCATTTCATGTTGCAATGTTGTCTATAAAATTATTACAAAAATTATAGCATGTAGAATTCAGAAGATCATGGGGTATTTGATCAATGATGCACAAAGTGCATTTGTTAAAGGGAGACTCATCTCAAGCAACATCTTGATGGCTCATGAGCTCATTAAACACTATGGGAGGAAAAATAATTCTCGTAGGGCCATTTTAAATATTAATTTGAGGAAGGCTTTTGATACTATAAGTTGTGATTTTATCAGAGGCATGTTAGTAGGTTTGGGTTTTCCAAATGCCATAATAAACTGGATCATGGAGTGCATTACTACTCCTAAGTTCTCTCTGTCTCTTAATGGTGCTTTACATGGCTATTTCCATGGAGCTAGAGGTTTGAGGCAAGGTGACCCCTTATCCCCATACCTGTTTGTGATTGGCATGGAGTACCTATCGAGGAGGCTGAGCTTATTAAAAAGTGACAGATTGTATAAGTTCCATCCTAAATGTTCTAGGATGAATATAACCCACCTGGTTTTTGCCGATGACCTCTTGCTGTTTAGCAAAGATGACATAGTCTCAATTTCAAGGTTGATTTCATGCCTTCATGAATTTAACCAAGTTTCAGGTTTAGAAGCCAGTCCAAACAAATGTTCAGTTTTCTTAAGTGGGATTGATGACAGCTTAAAAAATCAGATTTGTACCTATCTAAACTTCTCTGAAGGGGAGCTACCTATGCGTTATTTGGGAATGCCATTGATTGCAAAGAGACTTTCCTACCTGGATTGCTCTTCAGTAATCAGGAAAATTTCTGATCAATTCATTTCCTGGCAGCAAAGAAGATGTTTATCATATGCAGGGAGACTTGAATTAATAAAATATGTCATTATGGGTACTCAAAACTTTTGGACTAGCAACTATATCATTCCTATCAAAGTCCTAGTGAAAATTGACAGATTATGTAGGATAATTTGAGAGAGGTGAACTGATGGCTACATATATAGGTAGCATAATTAGTGGGATAATTATGACAAATTATCTCAATTCTAGTTCTAATAGAATTCTATTTGACTAACACACCAAAAAATATCACAGTTCTAGTTCTAGAAAAGTTCTACCTGACTAACACTACAAAAAAATATCTCACTTCCTAATTCTATCTGACTAACACCTTAAAAATTAAAGGGTGTTTCTTCATCTGGAATAACAAACAAGAGGCAGATGCAAGGATATGGTGCAGGCTTGACAGGGGACTAGTAAATGAAGATTGGATCCAGCTTTATAATTCCAGCCAAATGGAATTTCTTATGCCTTCATGTTCTGATCACTCTCCTGCCTTGTTAACTATGGGAAATGAAAATTTTGAGGGCAAGAAACCCTTTAAATTTTTTAATATGTGGACAAAGCATCCAGATTTCATTTTAGTAGTAAAATCAGTATGGCTTCAGAGTATATATGGATATAGCATGTACAGGTTGCACTCAAAACTTAAAAAACTAAAACCTGTTCTGAAGGATCTAAACAAAAAACATTTTATGAACATAAGTGAGCAAGTCTCAAGATCCAAAGCAGAGTTAGATAATATCCAATGTCAGCTGAGCAACAATCTTTTAGATCCTATGTTGATCTCAAAGGAGAAAGAATGTGTTAAAAATACACAAATCTGGTGGAATGTGAAAACTCCTTTTATAGACAAAAAGCAAATATAAATTGGGGATTGCATGGAGACAAAGGTTCTCATTTATTCCACTCTATCATGAAGGCTAAGAGACATAAAAATAGAATTCTATCAATACAATCTGAGGTTGGGATCATAATTACAGATGATGATCATAAGAGAATTTACTGATTATTACAAAAATCTCCTTGGTACAAAAACATCTACTGCACATCCTGACCCAGCTGTGATTTCAAGTGGACCAGTTCTCTCCCAAAGCCAATGTAATGAGTTGAGCAGACCTGTCTCTAGAGATGAGATCAAAAAAGCCCGTTTTCTCCATGGCAGATGGCAAAGCTCCAGGGCCTTATGGTTTCAGTGTTTCTTTCTTCAAGAAAGCTTGGAATATCATCAGTGAGGACCTTTTCTTAGCAATTGAAGAGTTTTTCTACTCGGATAAGCTTCTTGGCACCTACAATACCACTTCAATCACTCTAGTGCCAAAGATTCTTAATCCAAGCTCACCATCAGACTTTAGACCCATTTC